ACTCTTTCCTGCGGGAACTCTTTTTTCAGAAGCTGCGTTATTTTCATTGGGAAATCGTTCCGGTTTTAGTGTTTTTGTACAAGCCACAGAGCCGGTAATTGATAACGGCTTTTAGTTTTTGTTTGACTGTTGGCCTTACAGTATTCAAAACGAAAGATACTGTCTGGTATCACTGTGTGATTCTTGAGTTTTCCAAGGCCTCCAAACCAGGGTCAGTGCTCAGCTTGGAGGTAGCAGGGACTGCTCCCAACAGAGATTTGTTGGGGGGTTTTGTTTGTTTGGGTTTGGTTTTTTGGTTTTATTTGGGGTGGTTTTTGGTTTTTTTTTTTAACCTTAGGGAAAATCTTTGAGTCTTATTTCTCTCCTGTGCTGAGCCTGGGCAGCGCAGGCACTAGCGCCAAGCCCAGCGCACTGGCACAAGGAGGAGGTGCCAGAGGCACAGATCTGAGCAGGAGGTATGTGGTGCCTGTATAATAGCCCCCGGGGGGGATCCCCACCACCTAAAAAGCATTAGAACCACAGCGACCCCCAACTCACGTTGTTCTGGTTGTATTTCAGTTAAACAGAGTTGTGCTAGTTTTGTATGCAAAAAGGTTAAAAGTATCTGTTGTCAACTTTTGTATTATGTGGAGCAGCACCAGTAAACCCACTTCTTCTGTTTATTTTTTTAGATGACTTCCACTTGCCTCTTGATGTTTTACCAGCTGTGACGGAGGCTCTTGACACCAAGACGAAAGGGGAAGATTTGCACAAGGAGAGCAGACCTTTCCGCTACTGTGAAAAAAAAACCATGGACTTGTCAGACAGTGACCGTCCCGTCAGCTTTAGCTCCACTTCCTCCTCTGCTTCCTCCAGGGATAGCCACTGCTCCTTTGGAAGCAGAATGACCTTGGTTTCAAACAGCCACTTGGGCTTGTTCAACCAGGATAAAGAAACAGGTGCCATCAAGCTAGAACTGGTCCCAGCCAGGCGATTTTCCAGCAACAAGCCACGCAAAAACTCCCCTGCGGAGCAGGAGGATCCCGAGGAAGGCCTTGAAAAAAGGCTAAGCATGCCAAGGAAAGCAGAAGCAAAAGGAGCGAGCAAAAACTGCGCAATGTCCCTGGTCACAGAGCCCACTAGTCCCAAGCTCCTCTACGTAGACAGAGTCGTCCAAGAGATTCTGGAGACGGAGAGGATGTATGTGCAGGATCTGAAAAGCATTGTGAAGGTAGGAGTCTTGGTTAGCATGGCGTTAACTGTTCCATAAGGCTATTTTTTACATTGATTTCACAGTAGGACAGATGGACCTGATAATGGAGTTGGCATTTGCTGGTCTTTATAAATGAGTATAACGTCATTGTTCTTGTATGTTTCTAGTTTTTATTTGATTAGATAAATCTAAGCTGTTACTATGTGTTCATGAAGAAATAACTGAAACACAATTCTACAGTTGACAGCTGTAGTGAACAAAGTGTGGTAAATTCTTTGCAATAATGTTTATTTACAAAAAAAAAAAAATACAGTGCTCAGTTTCCCAGAATGTAAAGCAAGAAGCAAGCAGCAGACAGCTTGTTTGCCCCTTGAAATGCTTTATCTGAAGGGTCTCACTTACTGATCTTTTCCCCCCTCACCAAATCCTAGTCCTGCAAGTTCTTTCCTGCCTTTTTCTCTGTCTCTCTTTCATGCAATTCACAGCTGCAGTCTGTTCGCTCCATGTCCTTGGCCTGTAGTATTGAATATGGCATGTGTATTTGCTGGAAAACCCTATCGTTTGGCTGTTATATGAAGGAATTACATTTTCTTTAATGCTAATTCTGAGTGGGTGGTGCTAATAAATGGGTGTAGCATTTATTAGCAGCAGTGAAGTTTTTGTCCAATCCCCAGATGAACGGTATCTTTTATTTCCCCTTTCTAGTACAGGGAAAAATATGGATGAGTCCTTCTGTGGATTGTTCTGCTCACTCGATGTACTTGTAACTGTGCCATCAGTCAAGTTCTCTTGTGTTTTTGAAGATGACAAGTCCCTTAGCTGTTGTTTGTAGTCTGCATACTTAACCTGTGTGTGTAGGACTACCCACAGAGAAGGATTTCTTGGGAGGCACATGGTTGATGCGGTCTTTATAGAATATATAGCTTTAGGTAGCTGTATACAGTCACCTGCAAAAGGAGGTATCAGTCAGCTGTAGACACTCTCCCCACCCCGAGTTCCAACCTGCTTGGGCCCCCAAGCAATGAGTGGGGAAAAAACTCTAAGGCTTTGATAACAGAAATGTACATCATGATTAAACACCCCCATCCCCCAGGAGTTCTCACAAAGAAGGCTTTTTCTGCAAGACTTTATTGGTTTCTGTAGCTGCTGCTGTTCCTCTACCTTCACTGTTGCCCGAGTTTCATTTTGGAGTGTTTAAGGTTGTCATATGCTGCAGAAGCCAGCCAGCTTCTGTGCGTAGTCACTGTTCACTAGGCATGACCTCTGTGGTTTTGGAAAAAGCTCTCACTCATCCTCCTATGCAGTAGACTATACAACTTGAGGAATTAGACACTATCGTTAAAATCTTGAAGCAGATTTTCTATTTACAAGTAGGAAGGCTAACAAGTGCTTGCTAGAAATACTTTAAGCATTGCTACAGTAGCTGCAGAGTAAATGTGGCACATGCACTTGAAGTTATGAAAGAACAGGAGGAATTTACCTGTGAAATACCCCAGCATATTTCCTACAGCAATTGATAAATAATGAATCTTGAAAGCTTTGTGTGGCAGTAGACAGCCTATCTGAGAGATGGAGTGGTTGGCAGTGGGGCTTTTCTTAGGTAGGTGTTGAGGATCTGAGGGCTTAAAGGAGCTCCTTCCCAAATGGCGAGGACAGTGGGGAACCAGCTGCCTCAGGCTGTGTGTGTTCTTTGCTTGGTCTTTGAGGAGGGAGGTGTGACTGGAAGCATGTTACAGAGGAACCCATTTTATATGTTTCTCAGGCTTCTTTTCTCCACAAGTTGCCTTAGCAATGCTGCAGTAAGTGACCTAACCAAGGGTGGTGGTTGTGAGAAGGATGGGAAGACTCCACAGACATCTGCAGGAATGTCGCAGCCTTGCAGGCTTTGATTATATGGTCCTCTATGACTTGAGGCCATTTGGTTTGGCAGCCAGCTGACTGGTACTGAGCCAAAATAAGATGAAGGGAAACGGCTTGATCTGTCTTATTTTCCAGATAAACATGGGTCAGATTTTGGCAGCTGGTTAGGAAATGGGATGAGAATGGGAAAAGGGGAGCTGGGGAAGGATCAAAGGACAACTGCTGGCCAAGAAGTGTGTGGGAACTGAAGAGATACATGAAGGTGGGAGCTGGTGGAGGAAAGCATAAGCAAATGAACCAGTGCTAAGTGGACAGAGAAAATCATTAGAGGGAAAACAATATGAGGAAATGAGAGAAAACGCAGGAAGTGGAAAGTTGAGGGGAGTATGAAATTGGTTGGAACTGGAGCTGTCTAGCGAGTTTTGCAGCTGACTGCAATACAGCAGCTTATGTACACAGACTAAAAATAGTAAAAAGGTGGTTTTGTTTTGGGGTAGGGTTTGGGTTGTTTTTTTTGCAGGGGGAGGGAGGAAGACAAGCAGGGCAACCCAGGTACAAAGAGCTAAAAGCTGAAGAGATGGCAGACTGAGGATGGCATAAGAACAAAAAGGGAGAAATGAATAGGTACTATTTTAATCACCCTCTATACCCAGCTGAGAACTGTCAGTACAGATTTAGCTGATTGCTTTTTGTCTCGTGGTAGTGGGGATTTGCTGATACTACCTTATCTGTAGACAATGGAAATGTAGTTAAAAAGAACATGGTCTTACTGTTATTTCCAGGCTTTGAGACAGGTTCTAGAGCTAGAACTGAGAATTTGTTCTCTAAATTTCTGGTGTAAAGCAAAGCATATTTGCCTGTGATGCACCGTCAAGCTTTTTGGGGGGGTTGAGAGGGGGTTGTTTTGGGGGAGTTGAGAGGATTGGGGGTGTGTGTTTGTTTTGTTTTTTAATACATCTACAATCTTTCTCATCATCCAGCTCATTAATGAATATCTTAAACAGGACCCCAGGGGTATGCTGCTAGTTACTGGCCTCCAACTAGATTTTATGCCTTCGATCAGCACCCTCAGGGCCTGTCCGTTCAGGCAGTTTTAAATCAACCTCACTGTTTATTTATCCAACCCATACTTCATCAGCTTGCCTATGAGGATCTTATGGGAGACAGTGTCAAAAGGCTTTCTGAAGTCAAGGTAGACAATATCCACTGTTCTCCACTCATCTACCAAGCCGGTCATTTCATTGTAGAAGGTTATCAGGGTGGTTCACTTCCCCCTGGTGAATCCATGCTGGCTATTCTTGATTACCTTCTTGTCCTTCATGTGCCTGGAACTGGTTTCAAAGTTTAGTTGTACACAAATGGCCCATTAACATGGATGGTGTGAAATTGCGTGTGGGATCCTGGTACTATTCATCTTATCCAAAGTCAGCTCATTAAGATTTAGCCTAGCATAGTATTTTGGGCAGTGTCCTTTCAGCCTATGTTATGCTTAAAACATGTAGAGTTACCATGCTTGACATAAAAGACTATGGAGTGAATGGGGGAAAATAGAAATTCACCCTTTTTGATGCCTTTATTGACCTAAAGCTGTTAGGTCATTAATAAGTAAATAAATAAAAATAAACTAAAAAGGCATAACTTCTATTGGCTTTTGAGTATCTGTGTGGTCTTTGTTCTTAACAGCATCAAAATGCTAGACACATGTAGAAATCAACTTCACAGGACATGGCTAATGTGATCTTTAACTGATACTGTAGACCTGCTGAGGTTCTCCAGCTTTCTTTTAAATTGCTGATAAGTATTTCATGGGCTTAGGATGAGTAAGAGGAGGCCATACAGGCACTTTTTGGTTCCTTTTGCCTCAAGATATGCTTTAAAAACAACTACTTTTCTAGTCCTTACAGCCATTTTGTCTGTGACCTGAAAGAACAGTTGAATTATGATTGTTTTGGGGTACGCTGCCATGATTCTTGCACAGGCAAGCATTGTAACAAAGGTAGAGTGAACTTTTCCATTGTTTGGTATGTTTTATCAGATGATCTGTTCAGTATAATTAAAATTTTGAATTAGTACAGCTTGAAGCATGTTTTGGGCAAGTTTGTGTTGAGAAATCTGATACCTTTGCTTCCTGCTTGTGTCATGCTGACAGGTGTACTGGCCAGGGCAGAACCTGCAGACCTTCTCCTCTTCAGGACCCAGCCTGACTTTGTCAAGTAGTAATTTAGTTAGAGTAGGCATAAACTTCAATTTGAGTGACTGACTTCAGTAACTTTTTTCCTGAGTAAAATGTTGTCCCTGAGTTTATAATAAAAATGTTTTACTTTCGCAGCATATAGGGGTCAGAAGCCCATATTCATAATTTGTACAAATGCTCGTGACTGTAGAAGACAACATCCACTTCTGTGTTTTACCTTTGCAAAATGAAAGAATAATGCAAATGTGCTGTTATAGTGCATGCATCTGTCATGTGACATTAAATACACTCTCACAGCGATATCAGCCCAACTAGAGAACGTCCAGATCCACTGCATGAACCTCAGCCATTTGATATAAGAACTCCTATCAGTAAAATAATATTGGTAAAATAGTCATTGTCATCTATACAGTAACTAGAGGGGAGTGTAGCATGTGTTGTCAGTGCATTTCACAAATATTTGATTCAAACAGAGGTTGAGCTTCAGGAATCTTGAACTCCATCTGAAATCTGGGAGACTTCCTTTACATGAATGAGTTCCTCTACCCTTTCACTCCAAACGTGGCTTTTTTAAACCGTCACTACTGGACTAGTTGAAGTCTCTCTCCTATCTCCTCTCCAGATCTTTTGTCCACCGCCTCTCTCTTTTTTTTATATTTAAGATTCCTCATGCAAGCCTTCTAACCTCGGAAGTCCCATTCTTCTCTGCACAGTCTTGTGCCTATGGTCTCCCTGCCCATCTGTCCTAAGTCTTCTCTCAGTAAATCGTATCCTCAACTCCTGTGAGTTCATATTGTCTCATTTCCTCATGTGATTTATCACTTTTTAGTCTTTCTCGTTCCCATGTTCACAGTGTCTGCTGACTCCAGATCTCTCTCCGTCGTTCTCTTGGCGGGTCTGAAGATACTTAAGTAACTTGTCACAATCTTTTTGCCAGATCTGTTGTAGTTCTCCCTCTATACCT